TCACTGTCCCTCACTCACTGACCCCCTCACTCACTGTCCTTCACAACTCCCCACTGTCACCTTCCTCCCCAACTCTCCGGATCCCGGGAAAGTTTGCAGTGACTAACCGCCGCTGTCAGTTCCTTCTTCGCGGGTTTGGACACGATTCTCGCCCTGGGAACGAGCTGCAGCCGGTTGCCGGCGATCAGAAAGCGGAGCCCCCGGGTCAGGGGCTGGCTCAGTCCCTGCATGTCTCTCACGAACGGCACAGGTCTTGTGGCGAGGCTGTCGGATCTGTCTGCTGGACTGGACGTCCTTTAGAAGCGAATCCGATTTGCACCGACACGGCACAAGTGGAGACAGCAAGAACAGCACAGGACTGACAAAACCCGCTGAGAGGCAACACCACTCATCAAAATAGCCGCTTTACTCGGAATAACCCTGACCTGAGAATAATCAAACGCAATTACTGGGAATAGACCCGGTCAGTGGGGATAAACCCCCTCAATGGGAATAAACTTTTTCCTGCTGGAGAAAACATAATCATCCTTATTGGGAACAAAGTCCACCTATAACTTGGTAATTGGGAATACCACATTAACTGGAGAAATAAAAGCATGCAGGAGGACTCCCAAACTGGGAATACACAAGGGTTAAGGAGAATCCAAAGAGATTCTACAAATACATTAAGGACAAAAGGGTAACTAGGGAAAGGATAGGGCCCTCTTAAAGATTAGCAAGGCCACCTGTGTGTGGAACTGCAGGAGCTGGGGGAGATACTAAACGAGTATTTTGCATCAGTAGAGAAGAAGATGGAAGCTAAGTAACTTGGGGAAATAAATAGCGAAGTCTTGAAAAATGTCCATATTACAGAGGAAGAGGTGCTGGACATCTTAAACCACATTAAGGTGGATAAATCCCTGGGACCTGCTCAGGTGTACCGTAGAACTCTGTGGGAAGCTAGGGAAGTGATTGCTGGGCCCCTTGCTGAGATATTTGTATCAGCAATAGCCACAGGTGAGATGCTGGAAGACTGGAAGTTGGCTAATGTGGTGCCCTTATTTTAAAAAAGGTGGTAAGGAAAGGCCAAGGAACTATAGACTGGTGAGCCTGACATTGGTGGTGGGCAAGTTGTTGGAGGGAATCCTGAGTGACAGGATTTACGTATATTTGGAAAGTCAAGGACTGAATAGGGATAGTCAACATGGCTTTTGTGCTTGGGAAATCATGTCTAACTTGATTGAGTTTTTGAAGAAGTGATGAAGAGGATTGATGAGGGCAGTGCAGTCGATGTGATCTATATGGACCTCAGTAAGGCATTCAATATAGTAGACTGGCTAGCAACTGGCTAAGTCACATGGAATACAGCAAGAACCTGCCACTTGGATACAGAACTGGCTCGAAGGTGGAAGATAGAGGGTGGTGGTGGAGGGTTGCTTTTCAGACTGGAGCCTGTGACCAGCGGTGTGCCACAGGGATCGGTGCTGGGTCCACTGCTTTTTGTCATTCGTATAAATGATTTGGATGTGAACATAGGAGGTATAGTTAGTAAGTTTGCAGATGACACCAAAAGTGGAGGTGTAGTGGACAAAGACGAAGGTTACATCACAGTACAACAGGATCTTGAGCAGATGGGCTAATGGGCCGAGGAGTGGCAGATGGAGTTTAATTTAGATAAATATGAGGTGCTGCATTTTGGAAAGGCAAATCAGGGTAGGAGTTATATACTTAATGGTAAGGTCCTGGGCAGTGTTGCTGAACAAAGAGACCTTGGAGTGCAGGTTCACAGTTCCTTGAAAATTGAGTTGCAGGTAGACAATATAGTAAAGAAAGTGTTTGGTATGCTTGCCTTTATTGGTCAGTGCATTGAGTGTAGGAGTTGGAAGGTCATGTTGCGGCTGTACAGGACATTGATTAAGCCACTATTGGAATACTGCATGCAATTTTGGTCTCCCTGCTATAGGAAGGATTTTGTGAAACTTGAAAAGGTTCACAAAAGATTTATGAGGATGTTGCCAGGGTTGGAGGGTTTGAGCTATAGGGAGAGGCTGAATAGGCTGGTGCTATTACCCCTGGAGTGTTGGAGGCTGGGGGCTGAGCTTATAGAGGTTTATAAAACCATGAGTGGCAGAGGTAGGGTGAATAGCCAAGGTCTTTTCCCTGGGGTGGGGATGTCCAAAACTAGAGGGCCTGGGTTTAAGGTGAGAGGGGAAAGATTTAAAAGGGACCTAAGGGGCAACATTTTCACACAGAGGGTGGTGTGTGTATGGAATGAGCTGCCAGACAGGATGTGGTGGAGGCTGGTACAATTACAACATTTAAAAGGCATTGGGATGGTTATATGAATAGAAAGGGTTTAAAGGGATATGGGCCAAATGCTGGCAAATGGGAATACATTAATTTAGAATATCTGGTTGGCATGGACAAGTTGAACCGAAGGGTCTGTTTCCGTGCTGTACAGCTCTATGACTGTATGACTCTATCTCACTGAAAATAATCCGACCCTTCACAGGCATCTCCCTCACTAGGGATTACTGCCTCACGAGGAATAAGTCTCCATCACTGGAAATAAACTATTCTCACTGGAAATTATCACCCTCAATGGGAATGAACCACACTCAGTGGGAATAAACCAGCCTCATTGGGAATAAATTACATTGAGTGGAAATGACCACCCTCACTGGGAATAAATGACTCTCACTGGGAACAAACCACTCTCACTGTAAATGACCATGATCTTTGTGAATCACACATCTACTTATTAACTTCCTGACTGGGAATTAATTCCTACTCACTGAAAATCCAGCTCATTGGGAATAACCCTTTTACTGGGATTAAAATCCCTCACTGGGATTAAACACCAATGAACATACACCCATGCTAAGAATTAATCCTCATTATTGGGATTTAAAATCCCTTCATTAGCCATTCCCATATTTCAACAGTGTTTGCCAGCTAAGGATGTAATTTCACAAGAATAATTATTGCATTGTGAGAAACTTGGCAGTATGTGTGCACAGCAAGATCCCAGAAGAGCAATATGAAAAACAAACTTATATTTTACATACATTCGTGGAAGTCTACCAGGGAAGTATGGAAAACCCCTCTGCCCATTTCCAATACTCCATATTTATTTCTTTCTAAGAGGATAAGCAAGGATTTATTTATATACTTCATCTGACATCATTCCAACAGTTCACAGCTTTCTCGATATTGACACTCTATGTACTGTTTCTTCAGTGTGACTCCTTCAACAATACAGTATCCCTTCAGTACTTCCATCCGACATTGGAGCACAACCTCTGTAACTGCCAATTTCACAATGCAGCACTTCTTTGTTACTGTCCCTCCAACTGTGCTGCATTCCTTCAGTAATACGCCTCCTACACTGCAGCACTCCTTCAGTACTTATCCTGATAATGTAGCACTCCCTCAGTATTGGCCCTCAGTATTCCGCCACTAACCTGCAACACAACCTGCACTATCACTGTGATGGTGCAGCACTCTCTCAGTATTTCCGTGATTGTGCAGTGCTGCCCCAATACCCCCTCCAACAGAGAAACTCTCTCAGCTGTGTCTCTCCCAGAGTGTAGTGCTCCCTCAGTACTGCCTGTCTTACAATGCAGTGCTCTCTTACTATGTACCCTACAATAGAGCAACACTCTTCTCAGTTCTGTCCCTCTGATGATAATGCAGCATCCCCTCAGTACATCCTCTCCAATAGTTTTCTCCTCATCATGCCTCTCTAATAATAAAGCAATCCCTTAGTGTTGCTCTTCTGAAAATGCAGCACTGACTCAGTACTGACTCTCCAAGAGTGTAACCTTCCCTCTAGCAAATACTACTATCAGTCTGGAGTACATGCTGAATACTGTGGGTTGAGGCTTGAAACCAATGATATCTTTGACCCTGTGGTGAGAATGCTACCCACTCAGGTAAAGCTGGCAATCAACCTTTTGTGAAGTAAGGACAGATGAAACTGGAAGCAAAATGTAGAAGCTTTAATTTCAAACCCAAATCCCAGAATAAAATACCTCCTTTAAAATGATTCATATTGCAACAGCATTGAAATACCTATTAAGCCCCAAAGATTTGCTGACCCATCAATTCATGTCCCAGCCTTAAACCAATCAAGTGTGGGCTCAGGTTAGTGGGCACCTTATTGCTGAACATCACTCAGCTCATCCACACGTTCCCTCAAGGGGCAAGTGGGAACCTTGTCACTTCCTAATGTTCTGCTGAGGAAGAATGTTTTAGCATAAGAAACACCTTAATCCTTGGCTTAAATGTGTTGAAACTATATCTCCACCTAATTGAAATTGCAACATTAAACAATGAGCTAAAATGCAAACTGTATAATCCTGAGGATTGTACGTCGTTAGTAAGTCCTGAAGCCACTCCTTGCTGATTCATCCATGCAACTTCTAGAACCAAGTGCTCAGGGATCGATTGTGCGATTGGTTGGGATCAAGTCGACTCCAAGATCCTTTGCAACTGAGTTCTAAACAACGTTAGGAAAAAGGATTGATTAAAACACAGAACAATAATTCTGCACTTTATCTGAAGGATAAAGTGTTGTTAAACATCAATTCAAACTCAACAGGATTATTACTGATTGGTCACAGTTAATGTCTGTTGCAAGTGGGCTGAGTCCTGGAAGTGAGTCCACAGCCGGAGCCCGGAGCGGGGAGCAGAGTGAGCGCAGGCCAAGAGGGGAGCCGAGTCACAGCTGGAGCCCGGAGCGGGCAGCAGAGTGAGCCCAGGCCGGCCAGTGGCCAGGGGTTGGGGGTGGAGGGGGGTGGTGGTGACAGGAACCAATCCCGGAGGTGAGTCCTGGACAGAGGCCAGCACATGGAGGCAGCGTGCTCTCGTGTTCTGAAGCCCAGCAGGCATGCACTCATTGACAAAAGTATTATAACTTGAGTCCTTTAAAGACACTTTTTATTCTCATTCTGGACTATTTAAACTCTGTATTCCCATACAAGTCTCCTTTTTAACTATTTCAATTCTGTACCAACATTTGAAGTATCTGTACCTAGGTACCCTGTACCTAAGATGGTTCCGAGAGGCGACATTACAAACTTTTCACTTCAGTCATTCGAGTACACATGACAATAAAGGATAATTCTATTCTATTCTGTCACCTTTGGTCTTTGTCTCACATAGGGCTTGGTCACATATGAATCCCTATCAAACTCAGCCTGTCACATTCAAACCATCTCACATCAGGATCCTCTCACAGGCTGGCCCTGTCACACACACACTGCATCACATGAAGACCCTGTCACATGTTTGGCTTGTCACATGTAGCTTCATCATATGTGGCCCCGTCACAGACTGTTCCCCTCACATTCGGGTCGTGTCTCAAGATGACGAAGACACATTGCAGGTCCTTTCACACACAGACTCCATCACACATAGATCAAGTCACACACAGACCCAGTCACACAGATCCAGTCACACACAGATCCAATCACACACAGACCAAGTTATACACAAACCCACTCACACACAGACCAAGTTATACACAGACCCAGTCACACATACAGACCCAGTCACATACAGGCCCAGTCACACACAGACCAAGTTATACACAGGCCCAGTCACACACAGACCCAGGCACACACAGACCAATTTATACACAGACCCAGTCACACATACAGACCCAGTGACACACAGACCAAGTTATACACAGACCCACTCACACATACAGACCCAGTCACACACAGGCCCAGTCACACACAGACCCAGTCACACACAGACCAAGTTATACACAGACCCAGTCACATACATAGATCCAGTCACATACACAGACCCAGTCACATACACAGACTCCATCACACATAGATCAAGTCACACACAGACCCAGTCACACACAGACCCTGTCATACACAGATCCAGTCACACACAGATCCAATCACACACAGACCAAGTTATACACAAACCCACTCACACACAGACCAAGTCACACAGAGGCCCAGTCACACACACACCCAGTCACATACATAGATCCAATCACATACATAGATCCTGTAACACACACAGACCCCGTCACACACACAAACCCAGATACATACACGGACCATCACATACACAGATCCTCTCACACACACAGACCCCATCACATACATAGACCCAGTCACACACACAATTCCAGTCACATACACAGACCCAGTCACATACACAGACCCATCACACACAGACCCCGCCACACACAGACCCATCACACACCGTCCCAGTCACACACCGACCCAGTCACACACAGACTCTGTCTCATATGGGTCCTTTCAGACTCAGGTTCTATCACACACTGTTCCTATCACACATACATTCTTTGTTTGATTTATTTAGTGTCATGTGTATGTTGTTACAAAATACAACGAGAAGTGTTGTATAGCGTCACCCCTTTCAGGCATCATCTTAACACATCCTATCACATGTTTCAGAAGTAAGGGTTTTATAAAGGAAAAGGATTTACAGCAGGTCATGAGATTTCTTGTGCTGAAATATCCGGGAAGTAGGTTCTGAGGTGATCTTTGGATACTTTGGATATTTAAATACTTCGGCTGCTGATAACCTGCAGCTCATTTCAGAATTAGATTCTCAGTATGGGTGACAACTGATGAATCTGCCTGGAATAGCTCTTAGCTGATTTTTTAAATGGAATGTACATGTCTTACCATCTGGCTGCTCACAACTTTTCAAATAAGATTTGTCCATATTGATTCCACATTCTGTGTTGTAGTTTAACATTTCTGAGATCTAATTTGGATTTGGTCACCATTGTGATACAAAGGGAAGTTGACAGTAACCATTGAGGCTTTATCTTACCTTTGTTTCAGTGTGAAACAGGCAGTCAGGAAACTCCACAGTCTTCAGGCATTAGCCTCCTTGGACAATGATGTGTGAATTCTAGTCATGTCTATTCAGTAACGTCACTTATGTTCATATTTAATTAGGAATTCACTGGAGACGCATGATGTTCCCTCAACAAAGCCATGCTGACTATCCTGACTAATTCTTGCCTTTCTAAGTGACAGTTTATCTAATCTCTCAGGACTGATTCCAATAAGTTGCCTACCACTGAAGTAGGCTAACTGGCTTACAAATGCTTGGCATTTCCTTTGTACCCTTTATAAACAATGGAACCACATTTGCATTCATCCTGTCCTCTGGCACCTCACCTGTGTCGAGTGAAGATTGGAAAATAATCTTCAGAGCATCTGCTATTTCCTCCCTGTCCTCCTTCAATGTCTTAGGGAACAATCCATCCAGTCTTGGTGACTTATCCGCTTTCAAGGATTCCAGTTCCTCTAACACTTCCTCTCTCATTATGATTATTTTGTCCAATATTTCACACTGCTCCATTTGGATCACTATATTCACATTATTCCTTTTCTTTATGAATACGGAGACCAAAAATTCATTTAAAATTCTTACATTTTCCTCTGCATCTTCAAACAAGTTGCCTTCTTCATCTCTGATAGGTCCTACCTGTTCCTAAACTTTCCTTTAACTGTTTACATATTGGCAAAACATCTTTGAGTTTTACTCTATCTTGCTTGCTAATATTTTTCATGCCCTCTCTGTGATTTCCTTACTTCTTTCTTTACTTGATCCCTGTACTTTCTCTACTCCTCTAAGGTATCTGCAGTGTTGAGTTTTTTGTGTCAATCATAAGCTTTCTTTTTCTATTTAATCTTCCCCTGTATTTTTCCACTCAACCATGCGGGTTTAGGTTTGGGAGTACCATTCTTATTTTTGGAGGGAACATGTCTGCTTTGGGCCCTAAGGATCTCACTTTTTAGTGCCTCCCCCTGGTCTATCACTGAGTTATCCTTTAGCAGTCCTGTCCAATCCAACTCAGCAGTTCTGAATGTAAAAGTCTCTCTCCCACTGTTACGTATCTCATTGGGTGTGTGTCGCCCCTTTAAAAGAGTGGGTCAGGTGACCCAGAGGTGGGAGCTAGAGTGGAATCTAGGACTGACTGTGGAGCTGAGAGGATGCACAATAATTATTCCCAATTCAAGTTTGTCCTCCATCTACCTCGTGTTCTATTTATGATTCTAGTGAACCACAAATACAATATTCACCACCCTGCACTCCCAGCTAACATCTCCACATCTTTCTAAAGTTTGGCACTCAGCTCTTTACTGACTGAATGACAGAGCAGCTGAGTTGTGGCTGGACTCTCACCATGAAATCGATAACACTGACGTGATATGGAATGCCACCGTGATGTTCACACTCTGTGATATGTAGGGCTTCTGGGTCTCCAGGGGTCAGGACAGGAAGGCCAGGTTCACTCTGTGAAGGTTTAAGCAAATTTGTACCAATGAGTTTAATGTAAAATTGGACTGTAAACTCCTAACAGCACAGAAAGAGCCCATTCAGACCCTTTGAAGAGCATCCCACCCAGTCCCACTCCCTCACACTATCCTCGCAAGGCTAATCCACCAAGACTGCACATTCCTGGACACTATGGGCAACTTAGCATAGCCAAACCACCTAACCTGCATATCTTTGGATGGTGGGATGAAACCAGGGCAGCTGGCAGAAACCCACACACACACGGGGAGAACGTACAAACTCCACACAGCCAGTTACTGAGGCTGGAATTGAACCCGGGTCCCTGGCGCTGTGAGGCAGCAGTGCTACCCACTCAGCGAGCGTGTTGTCCCTTTTGTGAAACATGTCCAGTTTGTCAAACTTTCCTCAAAAGACGACTTGCTCATTCTGGGTAGCAATCTAGTAAAAACTGAAAGAAGGTTCTGAGGAAAGGTCACTGGATCCGAAACGTTAACTCTGATCTCTCTCCACACAAGTTTCCAGACCTCCTGAGCTTTTCCGGCAATTTCTGTTTTTGTTTGTGACCAATCCAGTAAACCTCGTCTGAACTGCCTCTAACATATTTGGATCCTCCCTTAAATGAGAAGACCAAAAGTGCACACAATATTTGAGATATTTGTTCTTGATTGTCAAGGGGATCAAAAGTTATGGGGGAGAAGGCGGGAGAATGGGGTTGAGAAACTCATCAGCCATGATTGAATGGCAGAGCAGACTCGATGGGCTGAATGGTCTAATTTCTGCTCCTATGTCCTATGGTTTAATGCCTTGTGTAACTGACGTGTAATGTCCTTACTTTTATGTTAAATTCGTCTCATAATAAAGGCTGGCATCCCATTAGCCTTCCTGATTATGTGTTGTAATTGTACATAATATTTTGTAACTCATGCCTGTACACATAGTTAATTGATGACGGCCAATAAAAGTTAATCAGTTATACA